ACTGGAAGTTAAAAGATCAATGAGAAATAATGACCTAAAAAAGCGTATTATCGAAATACTAGTCAATGATGATTTGTAGCCTGAGGAAGCATTAGAGGAATACTCTAGTGTCCCTACTAGCCAATCGGAGTTGAGTGATATAGATAAATTAGAGATCCAGCTAAAACTCAAACAACTCGAGCTCGAACAGGCTCGTATCGAAGCCGAGAGAGAACAAGCTAGTATCGAAGCCGAGAAAGAACAAGATCGTATCAAATCCGAGAAAGAACAAGCTGGTATCGAAACCGAGAAAGAGAAATTACAAGCTCGTATTGAAGCTGAACGAGAAAATAACGTCTCGAGATCGAAAAAGTTCGCATTAAAGCCGAAAAGAAATTAGACTGAAAGAAATGGAAATTAGACTCAACTCCGATCGACCAAGGCGAAATGAAAAACTTTGAACTTAATTGATATGTTAAAGTACCACCGTTCAATGAAAATGAAGTTGATAAATATTTCCAACATTTTGAGAAGGTTGCCCAAACCATGGAATGACCCACCGAGAAATGATCATTATTTTTACAAAGTGTTTTAACTGGTAAAGCATAAGAATCTTATGCCACTCTCTCTGGAAGATTGTACGAATTATGATAAGGTTAAAACAGCTATTCTCAAAGCATATGAGGCTTCTCGCAAAAAGTTTCGAGGTTATCGCAAGCAAGATAATCAAACTGGAATTTGCCTACGAAAAAGAGGTTTATTTTGATCGATGGTGCAATTCTATGCATATTGGCAACAGTTTCGACAAACTAAGACAATTATGTCTAATTGAGGAATTTAAACGTTGTGCACATGACTACCTCAAAACCTACTTGGATGAAAAGAAAGTTGAAACACTACAGGAAGCAGCTGCTCTTTCCGATGATTACACTCTAACACATAAAACCACTTTTCATAAAAAAAATTCCTACCATCGTGACAAAAACCTGTATCTGTTCAATCCCCTAAAGTTGAGGATTCTTGTATAAAAATCCTGATCCTCTAGTTCGAAATCCTCTAACAGTCAGGATAAAACTTCTTTAAACCATTCAAGACCTGTCTACCATTTTTGTAAAAAACTTGGTCATGTTATGTCCGATTGTTGGTGTTTGAAGAAGAAAAAATAAAATGAGCCAACACCCAGTGCGTTGGTGTCCATATATGGACCTAGTTTCACCAGATCACCCGATGCTGTTGATTTGGCCACTGATATAAAGGTTGATGTAATCATGGAGGAATTTAATTTGTTAATGTTCCTCTTCATAATATTTATTTAGCATCAGACCTAGTTTTGGGACTAGTTGTGGTTGGAGTAAGACATACTCAGCCAATTACGGGTGTATCGTTGTTGGGAAACGATTTGACTGGGAAAAAGTTGTTGCGAACCTAAAATGGTTAGTGAGCCGATCGCTGTTTCATCTAAGGATAATGTTGTCCTTGAGGAGAATCCAGATGTGTTCCCCTAGTGTGCTGTGACTCGATCTCAGAGCAGAAATCAAGCCAAAAACAATTGATAGACATGGATCAGAGGACGATATTATAGATTTGTCTCAAACATTTTTTGGATCCGACAGAGATCTTGTGGATGATTGTCCTACTGACAATACGTCTCTGAGTGACAGTTATATAGGTGTGGGATCTGAAGTTCCATTTACTGAAAGTTTGTTTGTTT